GAGATTATTAGTTTAGTCCAGACTAATAATCTAACCAAATAAATACTATATTAGGTTGAATTAAGGAGTAAAAAATGACCAATCACGCTCTTATAATTATATAATTTAATTTTTAAGATAAATTAAGTAAATCTCATTCAACTACGGTTCATTTACAATTCGCTTACTTAGGCTATGTTTGGCATAAATGGTTTGGGCTAAATTAGCCATAAAAAAATAAAATATGTTAAAAAATCAATAAGATAAAATATTACATTCAAGCCATAATTATTTTATTTTTTTCTCTTATAAAAGTTTAAAAAATCAAAAAATTCATCTCAAACGAAACTTTTTAACCCCAAATTAAAATAATTATGGTGGTGTTTGGGAAGCCAAACTTGGGCTAAAATAGCCATGTCACGACAAAGGTGACTTTTTTAGCCACATGGCGACAAAACTTTCACAGGTACAGCCCAATAGCCAATGCCAAAGTCAATTTATGAAATTACCCCCACATGTTAATTTTGGGCATCACCATCAACTGAGCACACAAAAATTAATAAAAAAAAAAACATTTTCCCAAAACACACCTTTTCGTAAATTTAAACAAAGAAAGTTGAAAAAAAAAATTTAAAACATTTTTTTGTTTTTTGTTAAAATATTTTAGAAAAATAAATGCAAACTCTATTTATAAAAATGTTTTTAAATATTTTAATTTTTTTGTTATGCATTTGGTTATTTTTTGAGTGTAGAATTGTGAAAGTAGTATAGAGTTTCGAGTTATGTATTTGGTTATGAGTTTTAAAAATAATTTATTAATTGAGTTTTATTTTATGTGTTTAGTTACGATTTGAGTGTAGAGTTGTTTTTAAATTTAAAATATTAACATTTTAAATTATTTAAATTTTTTTGTTAAAATAATTTTTTGAATATTTAAATTATTTAAATTTTTACGATTTAAAATTTTTGAATATTTATTTTAATTTTTTGCTTATTAAATTTTTTAGATTATTTACATTATTTAAATAATTTAAAATAAAATTAAAATTAAAATTAAAATTAAATTAAATTAAAATTAAATTATTTAAAATACACAGGACAATAAAATAAAACCTCACTTTTTATCATTTCACAGAAAATGAAATAAAAATTAAAATAAAAAACACATGAAAAAACCATTTGCAAAAAAAAAAACATAAATTAAAAAAAATAACGAGAAAAAACTTAAAAAATGAAAAAAACATAAATTAAAAAAAATAACGAGAAAAATATGCCTCATTCAAAAATATTTTTAAAAAAAAACATAAAAACATAAATTACCATTCGCGACGTAATTTAGAAATAAATAAAACACATGAAAACTCATTTTTGAAAAATAAAAAAAAAATTATTGTATACCAATAAAAATAAAAAAGAAAAAAAAACATAAATTAATGTGAGTGAATAAAAAAATGACAAAATCGTAAATTTAAAAAAAATAACGACAAAAATACGCCTCATTCAAAAATATTTTTTAAAAAAAACATGAAAACATAAATTACCATTCGCCACGGAATTTACAAATAAATAAATAAAAAAGTTATTGTATACCAATAAAAATAAAGAAGGCAAAAAACGTAAATTAAAGAACAAGAACTAATTAATGTATAAAAAAAAAAAAGAAGACAAAAACATAAATTTAAAAAAAACAATTTAAGCAAAATATGCCAAATCCAAACCCAAAATAAAATAAAAAAAAACAAAAAAAAAAATATACGCAAAAAACGCCAAATCCAAACCCAAAATAAAAAATAAAAAAAAAATTAAGCAAAATACGCCAAATCCAAACCGAAAATAAAAAATAAATAAATAAATAAAAAACATTTAAGCAAAATTTGCCAAATCCAAACCCAAAATAAAAAATTAAAAAAAAGCCAAAAAGGGCATATTGGTAATTTAACAGGAAGACACCTCACCAAAAAGCCAAAAAGTCAAAAAGCCCCTCCCAAACCAGGCTTTTTAGTCCCAGACTAAAATAGTCAAAAAAGCTAAAAAGTCAACCCACTTCCCAAACGGAGGCTAAAAAAAAATCAAAAAACCAATTCACATTCCAAACGAATGCTTAATTTTTAAAACTACACATTGGCCCTGTTTGATAGGGTTTATTTTTACCTTATTTCAGCTTTTAGTTTAATTTAAGCTATTTTGATGTGTTTGGTTTAGCTTAATAATACAGCTTATAGCTTCTTGTAAGTCAAAAATAAAGTTATTCTTTGAGTGGGGGAAGAGAAACTTAATTTATAAGTAAAAAATCAGGTTATGTTCACAGTTATAAGTTATAAGCTGTTAGGTTATAAGTTATAATCACTTTCTCACAGTTCTACCAAACGGGACCATTAAACCCCTTCCTCAAGTATATGAATATACGATTAACACTATTAATGAATAATGTTACTTTACATTTTTGCCCTTCCATGTGAAAAAAGCATTTCGCGCAATATATGGAGAAGATGGAAGTACTATCAGGAAAATAGCTTAACCCTAACCCACCAAGTCTTTACCAATGTTAGGCGAAAACATCAGAACTCTTCTACTCATCTTTGCTATCACACAACACCCTACTCATTTTTACTATCACCATTGACTATCAACAACACCTTTAATTGCGCTTCATCTCCTTCTTCACCACTATAGACTGCATCATGCTTTCCCCATCACCACTATCTATTGACCAAAACCTTCATTACCCAATCTCTCTGTGACTGTCTCTCTCTCTCTCTCTCTCTCTCTCTCTCACATCAGTGGGGTTAGATGCAAAAGATGTTAAGACTTAAGGGATGTTTTGGAAAGTGGGTTAAAAGTCACTTCTAAATTTTTAACTCACTTCTTTTTCTCATAAAAAAGTCAAAAAAATAACTTTTAACCATCTTTTCAAAACAAAAAAAAATGTTATAGTAACAAAAAGTCAAAAATGTCAAAAAATAAAAATAAAAAAATCAACTTTTAATCGTCTTTCCAAAACTATTAGCGGTGACAGTGCTCATAACGATATATAGTAGCCGTTAATATCGATGGTGGGTAAAGCTTTGATTTGCAAATATGGTGTTTTATTCTTGATCTTGAAGAAAGGAAATGAGCTTGATTACAAGTTTTGTTGCAGAGATGTGAGGGGAGACACATAAAAGAGAATGATATTTAAAGTCATGGCTGGTTGTGATATTTTAGAGTAGAAAAGAATTAAGGGTATAAAAAATGTTATAGTCTTAAATTTTTTACTAAATAAATGACAAAATTTATAAAATTGTGGACCCCACATCTACCCCTAACATTACCCCATTTTTATTTAAAAATCTCATTTATTATGTCATGTGCTCCTGATGTCACTTATTTCCAATCAATTTCTTAATAATTAAGTAACAAAAGGTTTAGTGTAATAAGGGGGTTCAATGCTGAGTTTTAAATATTAAAGAGACAACTTACAAATGAGATTAAAGGAAAATTTATTGTAATTATCTTAATTTTTAATAATAATAATAATAATGTCTTAGGATTGGTATTTAGAGTAGAGCAGAATATCACTTTTTTCTATGACTTTACAAATTTAGAAAAATATTGTATGTTATTGATATTTTTAACACTATTTTGTACCATTTTTTATATACATACTTATGATTGATTTTTTTATTTATTTTAAGATAATTACTAACTAAATAATTAAAATAAATAATATTTATTGATGTAATCTAGTGATACAAAGCATTTTAAAAAAAGTGATATATAAGAGTGTTAAAAAAATTATTATTATTAGTTTATGAAAATAAATAATGGGATGTGCAAAATAAAAAGAACAAGAAGATTCGGATCAAAAAGTGGCATCTTCCCTGCATCAATGTCCCATAACATGATAACACCACATAACACCACTCCTCCCTGTCACTGAGCGGAGAAATTTGTGAAATTCGTAATTCAGTTCGGTTTAGTCTGATTCGGTAAATTTAGATTAATTTTTTAAATTTGTGATTCAATTTTGAATTGAAAAATTAAAAATTCGTAGTCTATAGATTGGTTCTAGATTGAACCTTCGGACCGTATACAAATAGCTTATATTTATATTATAAACCCTCTCACATAATATCTTCTCCTATTTCATATAAAATCTAAACCCGCATAGTATCTTCTTTTTTTTTATTACTTTTGTTTGTTGGTTTTTAATTTTAATTTGTAATGGTCTAAATACTTAAGGTAGAATTAGTTTTCTTATAGTTGTTTAAATTCTAAAACAGTATATTGCTATTATGGAAAGACATGTTACTATTGTGAAACTAATATGATGCTATGTTTATATTTTTATGAAATTAAAATGTTCTATATATATATATTTGTTATTTAATTATATGAATCCGTGGTCTTAAACCGATCCAATCCATGTTTAAATGGATTGGTTCGGATTGGTTCTACGATTTAAACGGATTGGATTAGTTTCAATTTTTCAAGAACCATAGATAATGAATTGATCCTGATTTTATCCCAATCCGAACCATACTCACCTCTGCGAAATTAAAAGGGTAATTTTATTTGCACATTGTAATAAAAATTTATTATATATAAAATTTTTGAACAAAAGTGAAATATTTATACATACTTTTTTGAATAAAAATAATTATTTAAATATTAATAATTAAACAAAATATATATTTGAATAATTTATTTTGATTTAAAATTTTATATTTGAATATTTTAATTTTGTTTAAAAATTTATATTTGACCTATTGGTACTAAGATTTTCTATCGTGCAAAAAAAAAAAAATTCTACTTCCAAAACTAACAAATAGTCATTCGAATAATGAATAGAATTTCTCGATTTCCAACCAAACTCAAACTAATAAAGTTACTAAAATACCCCCATTCCACTCTCTAATATATTTATTTCTGAATAATAAATTTCTGTTTAATTTTTATCTTAAAATTTATATTTGAACAATACATTTATTTTACGATATGTCAAGGAAATTAACTTCTTCTTTTTTTATCAAAGAAACCAATTAAGATTCATTCATAGATAAACTAGAAACAAGCAGGAGAGGAGGGCATGTCACCCAATTTACAGGAAGATAACCTCCTAGTCTAGCTAGTGCAACCCAGTTCGCTGCACTATTAGCACTGCGAGGGCACCATCTAAAAGAGAGACCACGCTTGTGTGCTAGAGCCTTGATATCAGCAACGAGGGCAGCACACTCCCAAGGAGGGGCATCCTCAGAAACACTCAGCTTGATTACTCCTTGATTATCCCCTTCAACCTCCGCTCGACTGAGATGTAGGGTGTCACACATAACGCAGGCCAAACGAATTGCCAACACTTCACCCTGAAGCACCGAAGCGATAGCGGCTTTCATTGCAACCCCGTCAAGAAGTGTCCCTTGATCATTACGCAACAAAGCAACCACCGCACCTACTTTTGTATCAGGTTGGATAGCCACGTCACAGTTGACTCTAAAAGTCCCCTGTGCAGAGGAGACCCATGCTTGGTTGACACCACTTGCCTGCCTGAAAACACTAGGAGAGGTCGCCAACATCACTTGGGCTGTCACAAATTCCATGGCATCCCGAGCTGCCTTGAAAATTACTTCCGTTGGATCCACTGGAACATGGTTAAAGATGTAATCATTGCGAGCCTTCCAAATGTGCCAACAAAGCCACAACATCTGACCGATAATTTCTTGCCGAAGTTAGGAGTTGTCAAAGGTTTCCATGACCTCTCTAAGCCATATCGAAATTGACTGAAATCGCGAAGGATCAAACCGGAGACCAAGACCACTCCCGAACCAAACGGCCTTAGTCCAAAAGCAACCTACGAGAATGTGTTCGATAGATTCAACCTTAGCATGACAAATTCGTCATAGATTCGTCTCTGCACACCTACGGGTATGCAAGTTTTGACGGGAGGCGAGATAGTTGTTACACATCCTCCATGCAAAATGTTTGATCTTAGGAGGGAGGGTCAACCCCCAAATGAACTTCAATTCCTTATTAGACCAGTAGAATGAGGAGGACGGAATCGAGTGAGAAGAGGTGGTCCCTTTGTTTTCCATAGCTACATACCCGAACTTGACTGTGTAAGAACCTCTGGCCTCATGATGCCAAATATATGAGTCGTTGATGTTCTCAATAGAAATGGGGATTGCGACTATTGCATCTACCTCTTCCGAGGAGACCAAATCTTCCAGTTTCGTTTTATCCCACGATTTGGTTCGAGGCTCAATCACATCTTGAACCAAATTAACCCCACACCCAGATGGTTGTCGCGAATGCACTCGGAAATCCTTTAACGCTGGAACCCATTTATCATCCCAGAATTTAGTCGAGGAACCGTTGAAAACTTGCCACCGCAAACCATCAGCCAACACTTCACGGCCATGGAGGGACTTGACCAAGCCCAAGATGCGCGAGCCCATTTTGCAGCATGCATGAAGTCGGAATGGGGATAATAAATATCGTTCAAGACTTGAGCACAAAAAGAATTAGGAAAGCGTAAAAGCCTCCACCCTTGTCGAGCAAGTAAAGCGCTATTGAAGGTTTTGAAATCCCGAAAGCCTAACCCCCCCTTCCACTTGGGAAGAATTAGTTTGCTCCATCTAGCCCAATGAATACCCCTTTCCTCCAGATTACCTTTCCACCAGAAATTATGGATGAGAGAATCCAGTTTGTTACACACCCTATTAGAAAGCAAAAAGCAGGCCATTGCATATGTGGGAATAGCTTGTGCCACCGATTTAATGAGGGTCTCCTTTCCACCATGAGATGGAAGATAAGCTTTCCAACCCTGAAGCTTAGTTAACATGCGCTCGATTAGGAAGTTGAAAGCTACAGATTTTGAGGTGCCCCAACATGAAGGAAGACCCAAATACTTTGCCCCCACACGAACCTGTCACGACCCAAACCCGTCCCTGAGGGTTTAGCATCGTAACCGGCCAGTAATCCGTGATTACCAGAGGCCTGCTTAACAGTAATAACAATAATACAAAGTAAGGGGTTGGCGAAAGCCAAACAGTAAATAAAAGATGTCCAATGAGCTGTGAAAATCTGAGTGGAAAAAGACTTTTATAGACTAGTCCACAACATAACCATAAACATATATATACAAATCAGATACGTGTAACATACAGGTTAGGGATCCAATCCCTTCACCATAACTATACAGTCACAAGTCCCAAGCATTTATTACAAAACAGAGACAAAATGGTGAATCTGAGACACCACACAAACAGCCTTGGCTTGGACGGATTCGGAACCTCGAAGTGAGGCACGATAGTTGGCTTGACAAAACAAGAGCTTAACTTGACGCTCCTAGCTTCGACCCGGTGCTTGACCACCTACATACATATATAAATAGTGAGCTAAAGCTCAGTGAATAACAAATGCATAAAGGGGTTAAGAATGAATGTCCTTTCATTAATTAAAACATTCATTTGCATCAATAAATCAGTTATTCAATCAGTGGCTCATATTTCATGCCATATCAGTCATTTAGAAATCATAACGGTCATACGTGGTACGTCCAATAGCAAAACAGTACAGTAGGTCTTAATAGAACGAACAGTCAGTTGATGGTCATCAAAACAGTAAACAATAGTAGTTCTAAATATTGGAACTGACAGAGATCTCTGTAACAGTAGCAGTAACAGTACAGTAACAGTAAGTTGCTATGGATGCCACGAGTACAGTTCACAAATAGGACAAACATTCATTTAGTAAACAATGTCATTTCAGAAAGCAGTACAGTCAATCGTTCAAAAATAATTATAGTTAAACGTGTCTTTACAACATTATTATTCACAGAGTACTGGGCTATAGACAGGCTAGTCAGCATCCTCGAGTGCCAACCCTACACAGTTGCAGAACGAACACACACTAAGTTATGCACTTGGGATTAATAACTTAGCCTCTATATGGCTTGGTGTGGTTTTATAACTTTATCCTTATTAAGATGCCTTAAACATGGCCTAGGAATGCCTAGGGTGGAATGAGGATGCAAAAATGTACTTTAAAACACTTTTCAAAATTTGCTGAAAATAGAGGTCTTGCTCGAGCGTGGCTTTCCCCGCTCGAGCGGACATGCAAACACAGAGGCTCCGCTCGAGCGTGACTTTCCTCGCTCGAGCGGACTGCAAACTCAGGAAAAAGTACTGGTTACACGTTTTTCATGCTCGATGGACGCTCAACCCACGATTGAGCGTGAGACTCAGACCCTCGCTCGAGCGCAGATTACCTCGCTTGAGCGGGCTGCAAAACACATGAACTTCTGGGCATATGCATTTCACGCTTGAGCGTGACCCTTGATCCTCGAGCGGAAGTGCATGTACTCAGAGTGTACACTCGAGCGTGAAGTCCTCCGCTCGAGCGTGAATCAAAAATCTGGAATTTCCAGATTGATCCTCAAGCACAAAACTCAACCTCAAAAGCTTCAAATTCGATTTTTCTGGGCTAATTTTTTGGAAACCACTTAGAAACCCATAATACAACATGTTTCAAAGATCATTTTATAAAATTAAGCCCAAAGGTGTGACAATTGAACACAATTTGCAATGTAAACTAGAAGAACAATGCAAGAACATAACATGCATGAGTTCTCATGAACTCTAATGCTCCAAAACATGATCAAATGTAAGAGTGAACTCTAAAACATGGTGAATTCTTGAACCACAACTAAAATATGAACATGCATGTAGGATTCTCATGAAACAACCTCAAAATAGACATGCATGCATGAATTCACTCTCAAATCAACACTTTGAGCTAATTCTTAACTCTATTCACCAAATGAACATAATTTCCATGAAACCTTCATGAACAATGCATGTAACAACTTTAATTCATAATCAAGAGAATGAATTTCCTACCTTAAGTCTTGAATTCCAAGTATGGAAGTCTAATTTTACAAATCTTCTTCAATTCCTCTAATTTTCCAAGCAACTCTTGATGAAATCAAGTTTTCTTCCAACTCTCTATCTCTCTCACGGTTTTGGTCTTGGAGATGGATGAAATGATGTATCAAATGCACAAATTAAGTCCCAAACAATGTTTTAGAAAATGGCCCACTCAATGGCAAAACATGTAATTAACTAGGCTCAATTAATTTAACATTAATAATTCTAATTTAATCATTCCAAATTAAATTTTAATTAAGCCTACCATAAAATCCTATAATTCCTAATTAGCATATAACACTAATCAATTTTTGAATCGGTCGCCGATAAGGCTTTCAATTCGCAATTCGAAATTAAAACACGAATAGATCATTCAGTAGTCAAACAGATAGAAATGCATTTGGAACAACACACTCATGCAATCAATTCAGGATTTCATCTTAATCAATTACTTATCATGCTTAATCACAATTTAACGCTAATCAGATGTGAGGGTTGTCACAGAACCGAGGCTATTTGAAACACCATCCCGATCCGATGTTGAGTAAGCACATCCACATTTGCTGAATATTAAACATCGGATTTGGCAAAGTTTATCTGCTGTCCTGAGGACTCCCCATATAGCTTTAAGATACGCAACACCTCTTCGCATTGTCCACTTTCAGCTTTAAAGAACAGTAAGGCATCGTCGGCAAAGAATAAGTGCGAAATTATAGGGCAAGTCCTTCGAATACGCAAACCGACAAGTTTACCATTGTGGACACATTGCTGTATCAATCTGGAGAGCACATCAATTATCAACAAAAAGAGGTAAGGAGAAAGCGGGTCTCCCTGCCGCAGCCCACGAGAAGGTTTGAAGCTAGCAGTCGAACACCATTAGCAAACATCGAAAAGGTAACAGTAGAGACGCATTCCATAACCCATTGAACCCATTTAGAACTGAACCCCAGCTTTAACATGACTGCACGAAGAAAATCCCACTCAACCGTGTCATATGCCTTATGAAAATCCAACTTCAGGGCCAAGGTTTTAGATTTACCTTTTTGAGTTTTTAGAGCATGAAAGGCTTCGTGGGCTACCAGGATGTTATCCTAGATAAGCCGACCCAGAACAAAGGCCGATTGGTTCGAAGAAATAAGAGCCCCAAGCACCGTTTTAAGACGGTTGGCCAAAATTTTTGTCACAATCTTCAGATTAAAGTTGCAAAGACTAATTGGTCGGAATTGAGATAGCTTTTTGGGCACAAAGACTTTGGGAATAAGAACCAGATTGGTGTGGTTCATTTCTTTCAGCAAATGGCCCCCATGGAAAAAGCTCATCACTGCTTTGCACGTACCTTCTCCCACCACATTCTAGAATTGTTGATAGAAGAAACCCGGGAATCCATCCGGGCCTAGTGCCTTAAGAGAACCAAGTTGAAAAACAGCTACCTTGATTTCCGAATCAGATACAACTCGGGTGAGGGCTTCGTTTGCTTCAGGAGAAATGACTGGGTCAAGAACTTGAAGAGCTGCCTCCATGTCACCTCGAGGCCCGGCTGTATACAGCTCTGAAAAATAAATGCAATAAGTGTTCATCAATTTCCTCATCTGTGGTCAACCACCTCCCTTCTTCCGTTTGTAACTTCACAAGCTGATTCTGCTGTCTCCTTTGGGTAACGGTGGTATGGGAGAAGGCTGAGTTCTTATCACCAAAATTTAACCATCGAATTCTTGACCGTTGATGGAGGAACATTTCTTCTCGAAGTAAAACACAATCAATCTCGGCTTTCAGTTGGGATTGCTTGGCCATATTTTCTGCGGATGGCGGTTGGCCTTGCACTAGGGATAATTGTTGCCTCAAGGTCGCTAGTTGAGTCTTCCCATTTCTAAATTCCTGTGTACTCCACAATTGAAGTCCCCGCTTACAAGTCTTAAGCCTTTGAGTGAGCTGGAACATAGGAGACCCGATTGGAGCACTATCCCAAGCCCGCTGGATAGTAGGGCCGCATTGCAGAGATGCGAGGTGAGATACATAAAAGAGAATGATATTTGATGTCATGGTTGGTTGTGATATTTTAGAGTAGAAAAAAATTAAGGGTATTTTTATTTAAAAATCTCATTCATTATATGTCATGTGCTCCTGATGTAACTTAGTTTCCATCAAATTCTTAATAATTAAGTAACGAAAGGTTTAGTGTAAGGGGGTTTAATGCTGAGTTTTAAATATTTAAAGAGACAAATTACAAATGAGATTTAAGGGGAATTTATTGTAATTATCTTAATTTTTAATAATAATAATAAAAAGGTCGTAGGATTGATATTTGGAGTAGAGTGGAATATCACTTTTTCCTATTACTCTACAAATTTAGAAAAATATAATATGCCATTGATTTTTTTATCACTATTTTGTATCATTTTTTATATACATATTTATGATTGATTTTTTTATTTATTATAAAATAATTACTAAATAAATAATATTTTATAAGGTAATCTAGTGATACAAAGTATTTTTAAAAAAGTGATATAGAAGAATATTAAAATAATTATTATTATTAGTTTATGAAAATAAATAATGGGATGTTTGATTGAGTGACGCAAAATAAAAAGACATGTGGAATAATAAGATTCGGATCAAAAAGTGGCATCTTACCTGCATCAAGAACAAGATCCCATAACACCACATGACATCACTCCTCACGGGCAGCTCACATCTGGCCCACACGAAATTAAGAAAAATGTTTGGGAGCACTAATTAGGTGGCAGTGGGTCCTGTCATTAATGATGTGATGTTTTGGTCTTGGAGTTGTATTTTTTTTTTTTTTACTTTTTTAATGCATTGGTGCTATTAGTGGTGATGTTTTTAGTGGGATGAATCATTGTTGCGAAATTAAAAGGGTAATTTTATTTGCACATTGTAATAAAAATCGTAAACAAAAGTAAAATATTTATACTTAAATTTTTGAATAAAAATAATTATTTAAATATTAATAATTGAAAAAAATATATATTTAAATAATTTATTTTGATTTAAAATTTTATATTTGAATATTTTAATTTTGGTTAAAAATTTATATTTAAACTATTTGTACTAAGATTTTCTATTATGTAAGAAATAAAATTTTGTACTTTCAAAACTAATAAAAAGTCGTTCGGATGATAAATAGAATTTCTCGATTTCCAACCACACTCAACCTTCGTTTGGCATGTTAAATTTTTGGAAAATTTAGTTGGGTCTCCATGTGAGAGAGAGAGAATGCTGAGAGAGAATGCTGAGAGAGATTAGTGGTGTTTAAATGAGGGTAATTACGTCTCTTAGAATTTTCTAGGACTAAACGGTTTACTAGAATAAAAATGGGACCAATTGGTTCATAAGTTTACATTTTGGGATTTATTGGTAAATCTCCCTAAATTTTTAGATTTTTTAGTTATTTTAGTTATAAATAGATAAAATAGACTTTTTAATTCAATAAGATAAAACATTACATCTAAATCATAATTATTTTATTTTTTTTCTCTTATAAAAGTTAAAAAAGTCAAAAAATCTATCCTAAACGAAACTTTTTTCTCAGACTAAAAAAGTCAAAAAACTAACTCGCATCCTAAAGGAACCCTCAAACTAATAAATTTATCAAAATACCCCCATTCAACTCTTTGATACATTTATTTATGAATAATAAATTTTTGTTTGAAATTTTATGTCTAAACATTTGGGCTGTGTTTGGTACACTTCTGAAACGTTAGTTCCAGAGCTTATTTCGCACATGATGTTTGTTTATGATTTTCAAAAGTTAATTCCATGTTTAATTTTGAAAACTCAGTCGAAGGCGGAAAAATTTAGACTAACTGATCGTTCCATCGAACGTCCTACCGGATGTCCCACCAGTCGTCGGGGCGGTTGACTGAACAGTGCACTTATATATATATATATATATTTATATATATATATATTTTTTTTTTGCAATTTGTACAAATTATATATTCGAAAAAAATATTTTTTGAATTTTTAAAAAAAAATTATGAGTTTTAATAGAATTTTAAGTTATGTGTTTGGTTATGAGTTGTAAGTTTTTGTATCAAATATCATATGTCACATAAAAAATTCTCCACTCAATTCAAAACTCTTTCACCAAACAAATTTTTCACACTCAAATCATAATTCCAAAACTCAAAATACAACTCCTACTCTCAAATCATATTTAGAAAACTCTACAAAACACAACCTTAATTTTTATCTTAAAATTTATATTAGAACAATATTTTTTTTTTAATGATAAGCTAATAAAAATTTTCAATTTCAAACCAAACTTTAACTAAGGCCTTGTTTGCGAGCATGTTTTTTTAATAATTTTTTTACTTTTTAACTAAAATGTGATGTAAAAAAACTAGTATGTTTAGAATGACTTTTTAACCTTTTACAAAAAAATATATAAAAAATAGAGTAGTGATTGGGAGCCCGAAAAAGGTTGCCCCGAATGCCCCGAACTCTCTCTTTCTCCCTCTCTGCAGGTCGAAAATGGCAGAAAAAAAAAAAGAAAAGAAAATTTCGAGCCACATTCGAGCCAGACACATTTCGGGCCCTGAAGCATTTTCCTAAAAAATAAATCTTTAACTTTTTAGTATGAATTATTAATTTTTTAAATTTTTTAATAATTTTTTGACTACTTAATTAAAAGCGACACTTACCAAATAAAAAGATATCCAAATTCCCCAACTCAACCCCACTCTCTCCAATCACCTATACGAAAACACGAACACCCCCACCCAACGGCTCTCGCTCTCCAAAAACAACATACTCCTATTTTAGTTTGTAAGTTTGTACTTGCATGCTTGTGGCTCGGCTGTGCTTCGAAATATAAAATTACGCGGTCTCTCACATTTCATATCTCTTTCTTTCTCTCTCTTCATTCCACTTTCTCTCTCTACCTTCGTTCCTTCCATCCATGGCGATCTGACAGAATATGGATACAGAGAGTGAAAGGCTGATTTTTTAGCTGAAATCTAGGCATTTTTTTGGGGCTCTCGTTCTTGCCCTAACACCATTTGGAGAGGAGAGAGGCCGCATAGTCTCTGATGACAATGTCGGCATTCGACCCTCTCGATGCGTTTCTCATCTATACTAGCAGAGCCTTTTGTAGTCCTTTTGCTGTTTTTATTCAGATCCAGGTACGGTTTCCTATTCGATTTCTCTGCAATTAGCGGTTGATTATTATGGGAATTACGCCTGTATTTGTTTGCCGAGAAAATACCGAGGAAATTGACAAATAAGCAAATTTTGAATCTTAGGAAAATTGAGATTTTCAATCCAAATAGCTTTGTTTGCTCTCTCTCTCTCTCTCTCTCTCTCAACTTAGTTGAGTCCGAATTGGGGGATGTTTACTATGCGAATTGTTCAAAATTGTAGTTTGTATTTTTCTCAGCAACCAACAGATTGTAGTTTGTATTATGTTTGAGATTGTGGTTATGAGGAAAAAATTCAAATTCAAATTCAAAATTTTATTTTTATTTTTTTAGATGAGGTTAGTTGTCCCTTCTATTACAATAAGATCTGTAGCTATTAGTCCTTAAAAGTTTCTTTTACGATCAATTTGCCTCCTCAAAGTTCCTCTTTGTCGGAGAGCAGGGGTAAAGATAGAAAGAGTGGCTTTATAACCTAAAAAGTAAGGGCATGGAGGCCCTCTGCTATCTTTAGTGTTGAATATGACAAGGACACCGAGACCTTGATGATAAAGAGTGGATACTTCTAGAAGGGAGTCATATTCGTACTTGTATCGGATATTGATACTCATTGGATATTAATTTTCTTTAATTTTGACAATATCGGATATTTTTGGATACTGTATGTAGGTCTTGTATTTGGAATATCATAAAATTAAGATCGTAATAATTCTTATATAGAATTATAGTATAATTGCAAAGAATAGTATTTAATACTTTGCATACTTCTTAGAGAAGAAGAAAATAGTGAGACCAAAGTAGAAATGTTTCTCACTATTTTTTATGCTTATGTACATTAAAATACTGAAAATCATTAGAAATGTTTTTTATTATTATTAATATATCTTGGTTGTACTGTACCTGTATCCTATTTTTTACGTTTTGTCATATTGACGTATTCGTATCTTGTCCATATTTGTATCCGTGTCGGTGTTTCATAGGCTCGTAGTTTGTGACACAAGCCGGTGCCTCTAAAGGTGCCCTTGTCTTCACATTTGGGGCAACATAGCTAAAGATAAATATTATTATTAGAGTAGCATTGTTAGTTGTCGCACGGATATCAACCATTTCATAGACACTGGATTCATCATGAGTTCTATGTCAAAGCAATTAGATCCCAGCTTAGAAGAATAGTGCAAGACACTCTGGGTGATAACCATCATACGACATGGACATGTTATGGTTTTTTATTCTTATTTATGTATGTTATGTCAGGTTATGAATATATTTTGCATTACTTGTACCTTACTTTTTCTCTCCTGGGCTATGGAGATAATTTTAGTTTGTTGAACAAATGAATGGGCCTACTTATTCTTCTTACTTGTGATAGTAACTTATTCTTGGATTTATGTCCTTTGCCCGTGTTTTTGTGCACACTAGCATGATTTTGCTGCATGATTATGTACCAATCTGAATCCTTTATTCATTTTGTAGGGATATGTTATTTGCTTAACTCTTGCTTTTGGGTGGGTGTTAGCTGCTTATGTCAGGTATCAACCTTTGATTTCTTAAGTTTAGTGATGATGTGGCTTTAAGTTCCTGGCTCATCTGGCTCATTTTTTTCCATTAACATTTGCTTTCTTCTCACAGGAGTAGAGAGATTAGACAGATGAAACATAGTCTGAAAGGTGGTAACAGCTTTGCATTTCTTTATCATGATATTAATGACCTCCAGCACTCTAATCAGGTTAACCTGCCAAGAGTGACCATTGTAATGCCATTAAAAGGCTTTGGAGAGCACAATCTGCATAATTGGAGAAGCCAGGTAAATTTTATCTAACACAGACTACCTAGCAATATCTCACCCCCTCCTCCGCTCTTTGTAGTGCTGAAAAGTGAAAAATAATAAAGAGCATGATTATGTCTCTTTGATAGTTGTTTTTTTCTTGGTTTGTTCTTTTATCATCAGTCTAGTTGTCTTATCATCAGTCCAGTTATCGGAAAATAAATCTAGTCATGGAGACACTCATTGAAGAGCCACTGGGGATGCTTCCTCTCATTGCAGAAGTTTTTTTTTTTTCATATTCTTTTAAATATATATACATATATATATATATATATATATGCTAAGACAAAGGGAAGAAGGATTAACACTTCGACCATTTTGTGAAGAATGGATGTTAGTTTCTATTCGTAATTCGGATTCATGTACCATTGCCATGTTGGACTCATGTATTAGTTTGGCAACTGATTTATCAATATTACATGCCTTGCTTTTTCAAATGACTGATTCTTTAACAGTCTGGATGTTAGTTTTTCAAAAACAAATTAGCTAAAACTTGAAACTTCCATACTCTGTTTTCCGCAGTTATGAAGATTGTTATTATCTGTCTACTAGCATTCATTGTGGTTCTGGTTCATGAATAATCAAATGCAGATCACGTCTCTATATGGTGGTCCTTTGGAATATCTTTTTGTGGTGGAAAGTACAGAAGACCCTGCTTACCATGCCATACATCGGTTACTGGCAGATTTTAAGGTATATATCGTATTCCCAATGCCCTTTGTAATCCGATGATTTAATTGCAACTAAAGTTCATGCCTTTGATTGTGTGAGGGGCTCAGCTACGGTGAGAAAATATTGTTCTTGTGTCATGATTGCTTGCTATGTATTATTATTATTATTGTTATTTGGTACTTTTTGAATATTGCTGGGGATCTTACGTTTTAAGCTTTATGAATATTTTCCAGAGCAAATTGTGTTGTCGTCCAATATCAAGTAATTTTTGTTGCTTGTCTGTTCTATATCATCATTTGGTCCGAATTTCTTTTGTATGGACAATTGAAAGAACTGGCTTTTTTATTTTTTATGTATGGCCTGCTTTTTATGAGTCAGCCTATGGTTTTCTGCGATGATGTAAATTTTCTGTTGTGTGGACTGCTATTAATCTGGCTTTTTGGATGCATGGTTTGCTTTTTATGAGTCAGCGCATGGTTTTATGCTATGATGTCAGTAAATCATGTGCTAGCTACTTGAGTAATCACAGTGTGCTATATGGTCAATAATGTTGATGGGTACATCTCAATTTTTTGCAGGATGGGTCTGGTTTCTTTTACCTATTTTCCTCTGCTGACTTGTTCCCATTTTGTTTTGCAGGATGATGTTGATGCAAAAATTATTGTAGCTGGTTTGTCAACAACTTGTAGTCAAAAAATTCACAATCAATTGGTAAATAACAAGTTCACAACTTTGTAGTCTTTACCTGTGAAAAGAACAATATAGAATTAAGCAACTTTCTCCATTTTGATAAAATGCGATCCTATCCTTAAAACATATTCCCCAAATCTGGCTAATTTAAACTTTAAAATTATAAATTGAACGAAAATTCTGAGGACTAAGGTTGGATAGGACTGACAATGGTGTAATCTTTTATTGAAAATGGGTATTCGAAGTGAAGGGCATCCATAACTTCATATGCAGACTGGAGTTGTACATGTATCTGGCTGTTGCCTTACCTATATTATATTCCTAGTTTATTGTTTTAGAGGCATGCATCTCATTGTTGCTCGTCAATGATAGTCTGGTGCAACTGTGCAGATTGGGGTGGAGAGAATGCATGAAGAGAGCAAGTATGTGTTGTTCCTTGATGATGATGTTAGGCTGCATCCTGGGTCAATTGGAGCGCTCACTGTTGAAATGGAAAAGAATCCTGAAGTATGGTTATGTAAACACACATGCTTTGATTTGCCTAAAGCATAGTTGGTAGCTCTCGTTTTGATTTTCCCACTTCCTATGGTTGCCTCACTGTTGTGCTAATGATTGCAGATTTTTATTCAAACTGGATACCCTCTTGATTTACCGTCTGGAAGTTTAGGAAGTTACTGCATCTATGAATATCATATGGTATGACACCTATTAAAGGCATTCATTTTCTTTATGTTTCATTGTCCATGCATGCATACAAATGGGCATGCATTCTGCATGGTGTTGTTTGTTTTCAACAGGTTGGTGAATTCCTTTGTTTATCTGATATAACTACTATATAATAAGTTGTGTATTTATCAAGTAGAGAGAAATGAATGTGGTTACTGTCTATTGCACCCATATGATGTGATATCTATAATGCGATATGTCAAGATATGCCAGGCATATCTTGAATTTTGCATACAGAAAAGTGAAATAGAGTTGCTGTTGCAAGTGTGATGAAGTATTAACCTGATGAAATCATGTCTCAGGTTTCATATCCCATAACTTAAAATCCTTCATATTTGAATTGCAATAAAGGAGTTGATAAATGATAAGTTCTTTGGTGTTAATTGAGGACCACCTCTTCTAGTCCTTTCCACTGTTTTTGTCTACCAAGAGATGCAGTTTTTTTTTGGATCGGCAAATGTTAGTTGTTAGATTAGCACCTATGGGAGGAATTCTCCCCCTCCTTGGCAAAGCACCTAAGTGCTTGCACTCCCTTAATTCAACTTTCCCAAGGAGAATTGAACCCATGACCTCCTTGGGACTAAGCTCTAAGGAAGGCATGGTGGCCAACTACCAAGAGATGCAGTTGGGATTCGCTGATAGGTCTTGTTAAGTCAAGTCATTATTTGCCAGATCCTGGAATAAATCTAAGACTGCATAAGGAATATTATTGGAGTGATAGGGTTTGACATCTATTAGTTGGCTTGCTTCTCTGGTCATTGTGTGCCTTACTCAATGTCTCTTGTTTATAATATTCTTGTATATAATATTCTTCTGTTGATGAATTAACTGAATATCATTTTTTTTCACAGCCTTGCTCAATGGGGTTTGCTACTGGTGGGAAAACATTTTTTTTGTGGGGAGGATGCATGATGGCAAGTACCAGATACCTCCTTTTTTTTTTTTTTTTTTTTTTTTTTTTTTTATGCTGATTATGGAAATGAAATTGTTCTAGAGTTCTTTCTTGACTCACTTTTTTTTGGCTCCAGATGCATGCAGATGATTTTAGGAAAGACCGTCATGGTGTGGTTTCGGAACTTCGAGATGGGGGATACTCTGATGATATGACTCTTGCAGCTATAGCTGGTTTGTGTTTCAATGCTTTACCTCTGTAATCTTGTAAAAAATAGACTTTTCATTGATAATTTTGCACCTTGTACTAGTATCACTACTGCCTCAATCTCTGGCCAAACAGGCTGACCAATGCACTGAATTACCAAAGGCAATGAAATTTTATTTCCACCATTTTGATAGATTCTTATTTTCTTAAATCACTGGGGATTATTTATTCTTTTAAATAAAATAAAATACCATGAATTTAAACCTGCTTTCCTACACTTGCTAGCCTGCTTTTCTATCATGGCACCAAGCAATGACCCCTCTGCCTCCCAACAACCTGCATATGGAGGACCAGCTTGGCTAATGACCTTTTTCATTGTTACTTGTTTAGTCTAAATCAAAGAGATCCTAAAGTGGAAATTTTTAGTGGTTTGATGACAGATGAAACAAAATTTCTCTAATAATTTGAATGTTTAATACTTATTTATGTTACATTTTGCTGTTGAGAAATTCTGATGAACTTCTTAAAATCCTGAAGTCGGTCATTTGCACCTGGAGGGGGTGAATAGGCCAAACACAAAAACAATATTAACCAATTTTAAGTTATCGAATAATTGTTAAGTCCAAGTTCAATATTCAATAGTGATCATAAGCATGCAATCTGTGAAAATAAGCAAGACCATGGGACAAGATTTTACTTGGAGACCTTGGATAACATTGTAAGATTCCTGAAGGCTTTTCTGTATATTCAATTGTGTTTTTAAAGATTACAATCAGGCCTTAGATTATATAACCCTAAATCCTAAACCAAAAAAGGAAAATACAATTACAATTATGTCTCTAACAGGACTCTAACACAATCATGCCTCTAATAGGACTCTAATTTGTACAAAACACACAATAATATATACACAATAATATATTCTATATTCTCACACCCCCGCTCAAACTCAAGGTGTTTTAGCAGAAAATACTGAGAGTTTGTTAAGAAGAAACTGAAACCGAATGGTAGTGTGAGTCTTGGTGAAGAAGTCCGCAAGTTGCAAAGCCGAAGGGATGAAAGGAAGTGAGATAGAGGCAGACTGCAGATGCTGGCGAACAAAGTGACAATCAATTTCAATATGTTTCGTCCGCTCATGAAAGACAGTATTGTGGGCAATCTGAACAGTATTGCGGTTGTCACAATAGAGAGATGTCGGAGAAGACTGAGAGACACCCAAATCAGATAAGAGACAACGAAGCCAAACAATCTCAGCAGTGGCATGAGCCATAGCACGATACTCAGCTTCGGCAATAGAGCGAGCAACGATTGATTGTTTCTTGCTTTTCTAAGAGATCAAGGAATCTCCAAGAAACATACAGAAACCAGACGTAGACTTACGATCAGTAACATCACTGGCCCAATCAGAGTTAGCATAGGCCACCAAGTCCAAAGAAGAAGTAGAGGATAACAATAAGCCCTGAAAGATGGTACCCCTGAGATAGCGAAGAACGCGAACCAAAGCAACCCAATGGGTAGAGCGAGGAGCAGAAACGAACTGACTAACCACATGAACAACATAAGCAAGATCAGGGCGAGTGACAGTCAAATAAACTAAACAACCCACAAGCTCGCGATATAAAGTGAGATCATCTAGAGGGACACCATCAATAGAGTTAAGCTTCACATTAAGCTCAACAGGTGTATCAGAAACCTTAGTATCAGTAAGACCAGCACGATGAATGACTTCATTAGCATACTTAGTCTGAGACAGAAAATAGCCTTTGGGAGAAGAAGCAACCTCAATACCAAGAAAATACCGTAATGGACCCAGATCCTTCATTTTGAAGGTGCAGAAAAGATGCTGCTTGACCTCAGAGATAGCAGAAGAGTTCGAGCCAGTGATGATCATATCATCCACATAGAGTAAGAGAGCAACAAAACCAACCGAGGTATGTCGCAGAAATAAAGCAGAGTCGGAAGCAGAAGGATGAAACCCGAGCTCGGTAACAGCAGTCTGAAATCGATCATGCTAAGCACGAGGAGACTGCTTAGACCATACAGAGCACACCGAAGACGACAAACCTGACCAGAGGGATGGCGAAGACCAGAGGGAGGACGCATGTAAACCTCCTCAGTGAGATGGCCATTAAGAAAAGCATTCTTAACATCCATCTGATAAAGAGGCCAAAAACGAACAGCAGCGACAGAGATCAAAGTATGGACAGTAGTCATTTTGGCAACGGGAGCAAATGTCTCCTCATAATCAATACCATACTCTTGAGAGAAACCTTTGGCGACCAAACGAGCTTTGTAACGCTCAAGAGAACCATCAGAATGAGTCTTGACTTTGTAGACCCATTTGCAACCAACCAGGTTTTTATTAGCAGGCAAAGGAACCAACTCCCAAGTACTAGTTTTCTGTAAGGCAGACAACTCATCCTCCATAGCTTGAACTTAATGAGGATCCTGACAGGCCTCCTTGTAAGACTGAGGTTCTACAAAAGAGTGAATAGCAGACAAAAAGGTACGATAGGAAGCAGAAAAACAAGTATTAGACCAACCCAACCTGTTTGGAGGATGACGCGCTCGAGAAGGATATCGGTTTGTAGTAGGATCAGAGTCGTCAGAAGCAGAGGGAGCAGCAGCAGGGGCAGAGACAACCGGTGGAGGAGGAGCCTTGCGACGAGAATAAACTAACAACTGAGAAGGAGAAGAAGCCGAAGGAAGAGAAGCAACTAGAGGTATAGGAGGAGAAGACGGAACAAGCTCAGAGGAAACAGTGGAGATGTACTCATCAGACGAGACCTTAGAAGGAAATGGGTCAATGTGAACCAAATCCTCTTTGGAAACTGGAGCAGTGAGAGGTGGAAGCTGGAAGTAAGATAGACGTTCAAGAAAGGCAACATGACGGGAGACATAAAGACGACGGGAAACAGGGTCGTAACACCGATAACCTTTTTGAGTAGGACTATAACCCAAAAAGACACAGAGGACAGATCGGGCACTAAGTTTGGTTCTATCTTTGCGGGGAAGAAGAACAAAACAGGCAGACCCAAACACACGAAGGAGGGAGAACAAAGCCTCATAAGGAGACTGACTAGAAAGAAGGGGAGTAGGCATGCGGTTGAGAAAAAAAGCAGCAGTAAGAATTGCCTCCCCCCAGAATAGAGCCAGAATTGAGGCAGAGAGAAGAAGAGACCTAGCGGTCTCAAGAAGATGACGGTGTTTACGCTCGGCTCGACCATTTTGGGCAGGTGTATCTGTACAGGAAGTTTGGTGAATGGTACCCAAATTGGCCAAATACTTACGGAACTCATTTTTAAAATATTCCCCACCCAAGTCAGAACGTAACACTTTAATTGTAGACCCAAACTGAGTAGTAATCATAGACTGAAAGATACGGTATATCTTATAGAAATCGGACTTATGAGTCATAAGATAAACCCAAGTGTAACGAGTGCAGTCATCAACAAATGACACATAGTATGTAGAACCCCCTTTGGTGAGAATAAGAGAAGGGCCCCAAACATCAGTGTGAACTAAAGAAAACGGTGTATCAGATATAGAAGTACTTTTACGAAAAGGTAAGGCTGTTATTTTGGCAAGTTTACACCCCCGACATTCAGTAAGTTCACTAGGAGAAATTTTACCCAAAATACCTGACTGAACTAAAGACCGTAAGCGGTCAGCAGACAAATGCCTTAATCGAGAATGTCATAAATAGAAAGGACTAGACAGAGAATCTAACTGAAAAGAGGAAAAGGCAGTCAAAGAGGTTGCTATAGGCAGATGCAAGCTCTCCACCACATAGAGGTCTCAAATTCTACGGCCGGTCCCAATCTGCTGCTTAGACATTCGATCCTGTACAGAACAGATAGCAGAAGAAAAGATAACATCAAAACCAGCGGTATCAAGCTGACTAATAGATAATAAACTGACAGATAACTGAGGAACATAAAGGACAGATGGAATAGAGACAACAGACATAGCAGACGGTAGGACAGACCCAACAGATACAACAGACATACCAGATCCATTAGCAGCATTGACAGTAATAGAAAAGGGAGGAGGAGTACAATTTTGAAGTAAGGAGAGATGGGGAGTCATATGATGAGAAGCACCAGAGTCAGAAATCCAAACAGACGAAGAAATACCTGAAAAAGAACCAAGCAAACCTGAATGAAGAGAGGAAATAATTAAGGCAAATGGGGATGGCTGGGAGGTAGACAATATATGCTAAAGCTGATTAATCTGAGCAGTTAAGGAAGCCAAGTCAGGATCAGGAGCTTGAGCGGATGTAGTATACGCAGCGGGATCAGAAGCTAGAGACATCGTAATAACCAGAGAGAAAAGTGAAGGGGACTGATGGAGCAAAGTGTAAAATCTGAGGGGTCAAACTATAATAATATGGAACTTGTTTGGGCCAAACAAGAATAAACAATTGGGTCAAGAGTCGAACCACACAGACAGAGACAAGAGTCGAAGTCGACTGAGAGACAAGAGTCAAAGTCAAAGTCGATCAAGAGGAACAAGGGCAGACAGCTCTTCGATCGTGCGAATCGAAGCAGAAAAGAAGTCGGGATGTCGACTGCAGAGGGGTTACGAACCAGACTGGAGAACCCACGACTCACGACTTCAGAGACGAAGCTGAGAGAGACCGAACCTGAGGTTGCGAATCAGAAGACGACTCGATCAGAGAGACTGAACAAACCAAACCCAATCTCAAACCAGATGGGTCGCATGAATTCAGAAGGCTGAAACAAAGAACTCAACGAAGCAGAGAAGCTTTGACAATGGTTGCTAGGGTTTCGAACCATGCTCTGATACCATGTAAGATTCCTGAAAGCTTTTCTGTATATTCAATTGTATTTTTAAAGATTACAATCAGATCTTAGATTATATAGCCCTAAATCCTAAACCAAAAAAGGAAAATACAAATACAATTATGTCTCTAACAGGACTCTAACGCAATCATGCCTCTAATAGGACTCTAATTTCTACAAAACACACAATAATATATACACAATAATATATTCTATATTCTCACAAACATTCCCCAAGGAAAAAAAAACCACAATCTCAACCAACCCTCAAATTCCACTGTTGAATCTCAAGTTACAAGACTCAAGACTCAGGAATTACAATCACTTACCAGATTCACCTAACTCGAAAGTCCTCCATAAACACTACTCACACTTCATCTCCACTTCACGAGGCTTTGACCAGGCTTTTGTGATCCAATATCACACCAGGAAGCTCCTCACTTCACTCTGACTACTCCGTTATCAACGGCCAAGGGTTGAGGAGATGCAATGCAAGTGTATGCACTGCAAGTATGGGGTTTTATGCACAAACACTAGCTAGATCATAAGATATGCAATTTATTTGTTTCCATATCACGTGAAGCATGGGATTCAATATGAAAACCTAAAATAATTGGTTAAAACTCTCAAAGAACTCTCAAGGATGTGCCAAAGCTGCTAAACTCGTAATGCGAAAGCAATGTTTATATAGGTTTAGGGAAATGAAATCCAATTAAAATACTATTTTGAGCAAATCCTGCAAGCTTGCTCAAGACTGTTGTCTTGACCAGTCCTAGGAATTTGCCTGCTTGTTCACTTTGTTGAGTGAGTTTCAGGTGGGGCTTCTCAAGAGTTTGCCTGCTCGAGTGCTTGTTGAGCAGGTATCACGCGAGTTCATTCTGAATGCACAGTTAACAATATAAAAGCACTATTGCCCCTTGCACAGACTTATTTACATTCCACATCATTTATGTAAATGTCATTTACTGACGGCAGATAACACAGGAAAATAATGAAATACCCAATTTGAGTCCATCGAAATGTCAAAACAATAAAATTTCAACCAAGCAAAAAGTCAACTCACCTCCAAGAACGAAATTCGAACATCTTAGGATTAACTAAAAATCACAACTTTTGAAATAAAGGGTTAACCCTATCCTAAGATCTTCTATGTTCTTTTTTTAGCTTCAGATTGCAAATATGTAAATATATTACTCATGTGATACTCAAATTTAGGAGTTCTGACATTTTATTCTTCACAGTTTCTCACAGAAACGAGTGTCAGAAGTTTGACATTTTGACTCTTCCTGACTCCCATATTAAATACTAGTGCAACTTATACCTGTGGCTCCAATAATTTTCCTCCTGTCAATTTTGGTTTCTGTAGCTCCGGTTGTATTAATATTTCCATGCAGTGTCAATTTAGTTGAACTGATAACATCCATTACAAATTTGAACAAAAATCAAGATAAATGATCCATTCAAAAAGGAATGGACAATTTTCAATTGGATGCCAATCCCTCAATCAATTAGAGGAGAGCAAATAAACTATTTTGCCTCTTGATTGCAGTTCAATTTCTAAAGAGGCATTAGCAATTGAACTAAATTGACAAAATGTGAAAAATTCAAGGGTAAAATTGATGCTGTTATGACTACAAGAACTTAATTGACATGAGAAAAATGATAAGGACTAGGAGGGTAATTTGCTTTAAATACTGCAGACTTGTCCGTAAAATGTTTCATGAACTAATGCAATTTTACCTGAGGTTTGGTCAAAGCAAGTTTTGCATTGTCGTAGACATCTTCAATAGTTGGCACTTGGATACACTTCCCTCTATGCCTAGCCTAGACATCTAACACATTTTTTCTACGGAAATTGATGACACACTAAATCTTAAATCTTGTAACATTCCTGTACATGGTTGCTGCTTTTCTAGTATCTCTTGAAATGATTTCAAGATCAGATGATTGGTCAATATTACTTGCTTACTGCCAGTGCCATTGGTGGTGCATTTCTTTAAATCTAGTGCTTATTAGATGCTTTTGGCTGTAGTTAAATTCATCATATTTTGAGGCCTTTACATATGGGCTTGGCAGAACTCTGCACTCACATTTCTGTTCCCACCATTACGTAATGAACTGTCACAAGGAATGTTTATATTCAGAATTTTGCATTTTCTAGCTGCTGCACCACTAATTTTCAATTAATGATATAATTGATTATTTCCAGGGGCTCATAACAGGCTCATTACATCACCACCTGTTGCTGTTTTTCCTCACCCCCTTGCAAGTGATCTTAATTTCTCAAGGTTTGTAATGTAGAGGTTCAAAAATGTTTTTACTGGAAAGATGGGAATTAAATCTCAAATAAAAACTACTCTATTTCATCTCAAACTTTTTTACTTGTGCAGGTACTGGAATTACTTGAGGAAGCAAACATTTGTTCTGGAATCATACACCACAAAGGTTAACTGGATAATGAACCGGGCGTTATTTTCTACCCACTGCTACTTATCGTGGGGATTTGTAGCACCATACTGTATGGCTGTTGTTCATGTTGCAGCAGCATTAAGTATTCATTCTAAAGGGCAATCACTTCAGGATACAGCTCTTACTTCTCGTGGTAAGAATATTACTTTTATAAGTAGGCTGTAAGTGTTAAAGATTGATGAGCAAAATCGTGAGCGTTCATGTCGTACTGATTTTAAAATTACAAAAGTATTTAGCAGTAGGCATCTAGAATTTAATAATAGCCCATTGAAACATAATGTGAGATTAAGGGGATTGCTAGCCTAATTCGATCGGATAGGAAAAGTGTGCTGAGCAGTATACTTGCTGGAATGCATCTTATATAGGTTTTAATTAATTAAATCAAAACTGTCTGATTACTAGAAACTCCTTGCTGTCTTATGTTTGTAGTGCCATGGTATGTTTATTCAAGGCTTCTGTTTGTGTGTCTGTTTTACTTGTGATACAATTCCTTGTATGAAAATAGTTTTGTACTCGGGATAAAAAGCTCAAGCTAGAGATTGAAGTGTTGGGAGTTCAACTTATTTCTTCCGCAGTGATGATTCTTGTTCTCACTTTCATGAACTATATTCTCTTCAGGGTTGGAACTAGCAGGCGGCCTAGCTATATGCACTTTTCTAGAACTTCTCTCTATGTGGAACTTGACAAGAATAGAAGTTCAATTATGCAATTTGTTATCTCCTGAGGCGCCGCCAGTGTCACTTGGTTCTTACAACTGGTGCCTTGTAAGTATTTCTTCTTTTTTCTTATATAGCAGAATCAGTCAATGCAAACTTTTCTGTTGCCATTCCTTTGTTTCTTCATTTCACTGTCTGTAAATGCCTCATTTCCAATCATACATTTGCACTAGCCTTTCCAATTTTTGTAAGAACTCTTTTTAACTTATTCCCTTCTATTTTGTTTATTGCATTATAATATATGTGAGATAATCGTTAAACTAAAACAAAAGAGGGGAAGAAGTTTTGGGGCAGTCTTGAATGAAGCTTGATTTTGCATTTAAGAATTGGAAGTGCTAGCCGACCTTCCAATTTGAATAACATAATTAATTATTTAAACAAGGGGAGAGTACAAAAACATTTTCCATTTTCTTTTTCCCTTTCTTTTTCTTCATTCCTTTTCTCTCTTACTATATATATATACTGGGTGAATAGTGAAAGTACCAAATTGTATGATTTTATTTAAAAAAAAAGGAAAAAAGGCTGAAATTTCCGCCCCCCCAAAAAGCAACCTAGCAAATAAAGAATTTTGTACTTCTAAATATGACAGTCAATGATGTCATCTAGTTTGTTACATTTGTGATGCACCAATTTAATTTTACTAATGTTCAACGGAGCAGGTATTTATTGCAATGCTGGTGGATAATTTTTTATACCCTATCTCTGCAATTCGTTCACATTTTTGTCAGTCTATCAATTGGTCTGGCATTCGATACCACTTGAAGGATGGGAAGATAAGCAAGGTATGCTTTTTAAGGCCTTTCAATACCCTCAAAACATGACCTTCGTTCAATGTTATTTTGATTCTGCAGACTCTGTGTATAATATTTGTTTTAGATATCTACTTGAAGAAAAAACAGAACTATGAATGACTTTAGGCCTCGTTTGTTTGGAGAGTTAGAGGGGGGATTGGGATTGGTAGTGAGGTGGGACCCACTAATATTGTGTTTGTTTTGAGAGATGGGGAGGGGATTGATAGTGAGCTTCGGATTAGGATGGGCCTCCTCAAGGGGATTCGGATGGGCCTCCAGGACTTGGTATTAGAAAAATAATCCGGCGGACTAGAAATTTTTTATTTTTATTTACTTTTTATTTTATTTTTTACATGTCGGGTATTTTTTTTGAACATTAATGTATAATTTTTTGTATTTTTTGTTAAGTAAAAATCATTATTTTATTTGTTTTATTTTTTTTTGGAAATTTTTTATTTTATTTTTATTTTTTTTAAATTTCTTACATGTTGGGAATTTTTTAAAAATATTAATGTTTAATGTTTTTATATTTTTTTATTTGTTTTATTATTTTATATTTATTTTATATAAAAATAATTTAACAATCCCTGCACTAACAACTATCGTCAACATAAACACAATTTTACTTAATCTCCTCAGTATTAATCCCCTCACTATCAATCCCTTTCATTCTACCTCTGAAAAGAAATGGGTTCTTACAGATGAAAAATGCACTTCAGTTTTGATAATCCATGTCTAAGAATCGTGGCGACTTCTGTGGAGAAAGTGTGTTGTGTGAGACACTCCTAAAGACGTGTTTGACACTTTTCAATGTGTCTTAATTAAAAAATCAAATTGATAATATTGGACACTTTATCAACACTTCGTGGACAATTCTTGAACTCTCTGAATACGTCCTGTATGATGAATTCCTTCACAATAACAATAATTTGTATTTTTCACAATAACTCTAAATATGTGTTTAAACATTTATAAGAAAAATGTATCATGTGTACTAAAATGTTCTATAATTCCTTTGCATCCTTTAGAACGTAATTACTACGTGAATGATATCTTAATATTTAAGTTATGGAATATAAAACTATTTGGTGTTATGTTATATTTCTTTTATTATATGTATTAAATTTGTAAAAATATAAAATTTTAACATGTCTCAACAGTGCCATGTCTTGCATTTTTTGATAATCAACATGTCACATGCCTACGTATGTGCTACTTAGGTCCTTGTTGTTAGTGTAATGTTATTATGGCCCTGTTTGGTAGGGCTTATTTCTAGTTTATTTCAGCTTTTAGCTTAATTTAAGCTATTTTGATGTGTTTGATTCAACTTAACAATACAGCTTATAGCTTTTTGTAAGTTAAAAATCAACTTATTCTTTGAGTGGAGGAGGAAAAACTTAATTTATAAGTCAAAAATCAGCTTATGTTCACAGCTATAAGTTATAAGCTGTTAGATTATAAGTTATAATCAGTTTTCCACAGCTCTACCAAACAGGCCTTATCAGTGTTTTAAAAAGCTCTAGGCGCGGGGCGCCAAGATCACCTGGAGCCTAAGCGCCGAGGCGCGAGGCGAGGCGTATGCCTCACCAAAGCGAGGCGCAAGTTATAGAAGTTAAGCAAAATATCAATACAGCACAATATATAGCACAATTTTCAACATAAGCAAAAATTTATAGAATTCCAAAATAAACAAAACAATACAATATTCAACATTCCAAAAACCATGAAAGTAACATCAAATAACAAACATAAGAACTTAATAATCCACAAAGTTGAAAACAACTAAACATCTACTGACTAGTCCCATGGATGCATTGTCTAAGAACTTAATAATAAGCGTCATCTCCATCATCTCCTTCGTCATCATTGGATTTATATCCCTCCACATCCTCCTCTGCTTCCTCATCTGAAGCTACATCTTTCCATTCCTCTTCCTCATCTACAAGTCGACGTGAGCTTGAACCAATTGGAGTTGTCCTAGTTGTGGTTGATCTAGTTCTTTGGCTACTTTCCTCAACTCCAGCAGTTACAGCAACATCATCCCACCCCAAAGAATCATCATCATCATCATCATCACCATCATCATCATCAAACACAAGCTCACTCTCCATTCTCCCAATCAGCCATTCATTGCTTTCATCAATATCTTTCAAAGAGATAGGATCAAATTTGTCACGTGAAATGTATCGACGTTTCAATGCTCTATTATACTTGACAAACACCAAATCATTGAGACGTTTTTGAGCTAGCCTATTTCTTTTTTTGCTGTGAAGCTGCAACAATAAATAAAAAAACATTTAAATTCATATATAACTACAAAAATTTGGAAGAAAATTTTAGAGTTCTCCAAATTTGACAACGAATACTCACATGTTCAAGCACACTCCAATTCCGCTCACAACCAAATGAACTACAAGTAAGACTAAGAACTTTGATGGCAAATTGTTGCAACTCAGGAGCATCATGACCATAAGAACTCCACCAATCAGCTGTAAATGATTATTGGTTAACACTTCACAAATAATTAAACTATAAGGAATTGACTACTAACTTAATTTTGTGGATGAACATAGATCACCTGGTACCATTGTAGTTCTTTGTCTAATTGCCATAAGTATTCCAAAAAGTCCTTCAGCATTTTCATATTTTTTCAAGTCTGTAGTAACTTTATCTTGGACCTCTAATGTTGGGATCAACCTTGATATACATTGATATAGGCCTGATACGATTTCTTTGTCCTTTGCACTTGCAGCCCTTGGATCTTTGTAAAAAAATTCTGGATTTAAATAAAACCCAGCTGCATGTAAAGGGTGATGCAATTGAATATTCCACCTTTGGTTAATGATTTGAAACACATCTTTATACTTTTCTTCATTTCCATTGAAACTATTTGCAATAGCTTCCTTAGCCCTATCCATAGCCTCATAAATGTAACCCATTGGAGGCTTTTCTTCACCATCAACCTTTCTTAGTACATGAACAAGAGGACATGAAAATTGGAGGGCAAGGTGACAATGGTTCCAAAATGAAGGCATTAGTAGTATTTGAGCTGTCTTCTTACCCTGTGGCTCCTTCGCCCATTTGCTTTTGGTCCACTCCTCTGAAGTGAACATCTTCCTCAAATTGTTCCTTTGTTGATAAACCCTTTGTAAAGTTAAGAAGGCCGTTGCAAATAGAGATGGCAATCTGAAACCGGCCCGACAGTGACCCGACCCCCCGTCCCCGAATTTAATGGTTATTCACCGAAAAATATCCCCTACGGACCGGGGACGGTATTCAAAATTTCATCCCCGATGATATCCGGGCCGGGGACGGGGATAGATGTTTCATCCCCGGCCCCGCCCCGGCCCCGGCCCCGGCCCCGCCCCGATATTTATTATATATATATATATATATATATGTTTGGGGTTTGATTTGGTACAGCAGCTCTACTCTCATTGTATATTATATATTATATATATAAAATATTACACTCTCTCTCTCTCATCTCTTCTCTCACTGTTTCTTCTCTCCAGTGGCGATGGCGACGAGTGCGACTCCTCTCCCCAGCGGCGACGACGCGATCTCCTCTCCCCAGCGACGACGGCGAGTGCGATCTCCTCTCCCCAGCGACGACGGCGAGTGCGATCTCCTCCGCGGCAGTACGCACACCCGGCGTCATCTCCTACTCCGGTGTCATTCCATCTCCTCCATACCATCGCAGATCTTACATCTCACATCTCAGATCTGAAAAGATCAGATCCTCCGCTGTCCTCTCCCTCCTCCTCTCTCTCTCTCTCTCTCTCTCTTTCTAGGGTTTACATATATGTATATATTATATATATATATATATATATCTGAGTGTTTAGATCTGTAAATATTTTGTATATTTGAGTTTAGATCTGTAAATATTATGTATATTTGAGTTTAGATCTAAGTGTATAGATCTGTAAATATTTTGGGCAAAGATAGATGAATAGTTCATGGCTGTTCTTTGTTCTCACGTGTTGCAGACTCTTAGTCTTGTAAGATAGTTGCAACTAGGTTTTGTTGGGTTGAGTCTTGGTCTTGTAAGATGATGGGAATTAAATTATAATGACAAACTGGCATCTTCTGGTTATTCCTCATGGTGTGTTTCAGGATGAAAATGGATTTTCGGCATGTTTTGTAAAACTGGATGTTTCAGGATGTTTTTTAATCTATTTACAGATTTTTACATTAAAAAAAAAAAAAAAACGCCACCGGGGATTTTCGGGGTCGGGGATCTCCGATCCCCGATCGGGGGCGGGGATGGGGCCGGGCTATGGGTCCCCGTCGGGGATCGGGGTCGGGGACGGGGCGCATATAAATTTCGGGGATCGGGGACGGGGGGAGTAGTCCCCGGCCCCGCCCCGGCCCGTTGCCATTCCTAGTTGCAAACCTAGTTTTGGCAAGCTTAACTAACTCCTTCAACTGAGTAAAACGCCTCATCATATTCAACAAAGATGGTCGGTTATAAATGTAACCATGTATCCTAATTGCCCTTTCAAATGTCTTTTTAAAATTGGGTAATTTGAAGATATCTTCCAACATCAAATCCAAACAATGGGCTGCACAAGGCGTCCAATACAAGTGGGGTCTCTTTGCCTCCAAAAACTTCCCTATTAGAAGTAACAACCAAAACACAAAATTAATGATATGAAACAAAATGATTTATGTTGCAAACTATTAACATAATAAGTTTTTCTAAAGATTTTTACCTGCCAACACATTTGCTGCCGCACTATCCGTGACGACTTGGATCACATTAGCTTCTTCAATTTTCTCCACAAACTTATCAAGCAAATTAAACATCTTATTTCCATCCTTTGAGTAACTAGATGCATCAATGGATTCAATAAACATGGTGCCTCTTGGACAATTCACTAAGAAATTAAGCAAAGTCCTATTTCTCTTATCTGTCCAACCGTCGCACATTATAGAACAAACATACTTTGGCCAATCGTCTCTATGTTCCTTCATCAATTTGTTAACTTGATCCACTTCTTTTTTGAGGTAAGGAACTCGTATCATGTGGTAAGTTGGTGGTTTCAAACCAGGACCAAATTGCCCGATAGCTTCAATCAGTGGCCCAAAACTGTCATAATTCACTGCATTGAAAGGAATCCTAGAGTCATACATCCATCTTGCAATTCTAACATACGCCCGTTGCATTAACTCTTTCCTATAGGGATCATTTTCATCAATTTTACTTTGCTTTCCCTTGCCTTTTTGTTTTTGCACCACCACATGTGGATCAGGTGTGAAGAAACAATCCATAGGCCCTATCTTCCTAGGCCTTTTAAGTTTGGATTGAACAGAACCAGAGCTGGTTCTTTAAGTAGAACCTTGAGTAGGAATGGACTTTTTACCATGCTGAGGGAGTTCTACAAGATCATCCTCATCCTCATCCTCAAAATCTTCTTCATCAATCATATCATCAAAATCAGGCATCAAGTTGATTTGCTCCTTAACTTGCTTTTTTTTAGCCATAAACTCAGAAATCTCATCTCTAACCTCGGTTAGGCATCTAACACATTTAGTCACATTCCTATACCCTCCAACAAGATGTTGCTTAACTCGACAGGCACCCCCATTCATCTCTTTTCCACAAAAATTGCATTTGAACTTACTTAAGTTTCCGGGATTTACCATCGTTGAATACTTCCCTGCTGGATCTTTCCTTCCACTTTCAACACTCGACATTTGACTCATCAAGTTACTGGTTACTGGTTGTTCCTTTTTTTTTTCTTTTTTTTTTTTTTTAAACAGGACAAGAAAAGGCAAGAAAAAAACAGAGACTAGAGAAGAGAAGAATGAAAAAATGGAGAATAAAGAATCAAAAAAAAAAAATATTGAATCAGATGCCAGTGAAGAGGAGAAGACAGACGAAAGAAGAGGAGAAGAAAAAATGAAAAACAGAGAAGAAGAAGAAGAAGAAACGAAAAACAGAGAGAAGAGATGAGAGAAGAAGAACGAAAAACAGAGACGAAGAAGAAGAAGAGAAGAGAAAAGAAGAAACGAAAGAGACGAACTTGAAGCTCACGTCGATGTCGAAACAAAATTTTGGTTGCAACTTGAAGCTGAAGCTCACGTCGATGTCGAACCTGAGTCGATGTCGAACCTGAAGCTCACGTCGAAACAAAATTCACGTCGATGTCGAACCTGAAGCTCACGTCTTCGTCGATTCGAAATTTTGGTCATAACAAATTTAGGGCTTTGTCGATTCGAAGAGGCTCACCAACAGATTTGTATAAGAGTTTTAATCCTATGTGGCTAGTACACAAACAGCTCAGTCCTAGCCGAAGTGCATGAAGCGTGCACTTTGAGCCTCAGAGAAAGGCGCGCGCCTCAGCGCTTTATGTGCGCTTCTCGCAATGCGCCTCGCTTCGTCTGCTTTGAGCCCTAGCCCTGCACCTCGCCTCGCTTAGCGCCTAGGCGCGCTTTTTAAAACACTGGTTATTATACTATAGTATTGTATTACACTAATATTATATTATACTAACAATACTATAGGATAATAACATTACACTAACACCTGTAATGCTGCTGTTTTGGCATGGGCATTCTCTATGAAGGAGTGAATAGAATTTCAAGAGAAGATGTGGATGAGGTGATTTTTGCCAGGCATGATGCCTGAGTTTGAGTCTTACCGCTTGCAGTACAGCTTCCCCTTACCTTATTTCCCTCCTACCTATTGTTAAAAAAAGAAAAGAAAAAGGAATAGGATTTCAAGAGATGCAACCTAGGCTATTTTTAATGGGAGTCAGTTTTGTAGTTCATATGGATGCACTGAAGAGGGTTCTTTCCGTTCTTTCCACAATGCTAGTATATTAAAACATACCTTGTTCTTCACCATTCTCTGAACACCTGAACTTAACATTTTGTTGCAGATTGACAGAAGTAAGGATCAAGGTCCAAAATTCACGGATTTGGGAGGAAAGCGTTTATATGGGAAGAGAGGAGCTCAGCCAAAATCGTCCATCCTCGGTTCTTTATCAAGAAGTCTGGCCTATTGGCGCCAACCCAAGAAATTTGAAGTCTAAAAATGGTGTTCAAAAAAAAGAAATTGGTGTGATTTTTGGCTCCTCAGGCAAGGTTGCTTTGGGAGAAGAACTTTGTGGGGAAATAATTCTTACATGTAGTTTGGCCAATCCATCTTTGATTTAAATGCTATGATTTGATTCATTTATCAATACCCATTCAATCAATTAATTCTTGAGCTTCAACGCTCCGCTGTAGGTTTTTTTTTTTATTTATAATTTTTATAATGAATTTTGTGAAGTTATTTATACATTAAAAATTAGTGTAAGACAGAAAATTTGTGCAATAGTATTCATTTTTCTTGAGGTCTGGCTGAACATGTTTTGTTATGTGCTTTTCTTCTAAATTTGTTGGATATTTTGGCAAATATGAGCAGTGACATGTTTAGCTTCATTTATGTGAATGGACAAATGCCCACCGAATCAAGGACATGATTGGATCTTAACTCTTGAGGGAGGTGTGTTTAAGTAATATTTTGACTAATTTACCTAAAGAGCTGATTTTAAACGACTTTTTTAACAAGGCAAATATGAGTTAAACTTGATTAACTTGATTTGTTTTAAATTGCCACCATATCATTCTAAAAATACCTTTTATATTTTTCATGTTCTTAAAAGTATGACAATTACTGTGACCCTAGGATCTACCACGAGCAGTTAACATTTTCTCTCTTAGCTGAAAAATACGAGTCAAGCTTGAATTTTTTATTTTTATTTATTTTTATTTTAGTAATTTTTTAAATATACTTAATCTATATGGGGAATTTTTTTTAAAATTTTTGATATTAAAATTTTATAAGATAAATGACATATAATATTTTTATAATAGTTAAGGTTTCTCAACATTTTTAAAAAGGAAAATTTGACTCAGAGAAATTTGTTCGACTCAAAGAAATTTCAATTTTTACAGAGAAATTGTTTTGATTTCACAGAGATCATACTCATAGAAATTTTAAAATTTCTCTAAGTCGGATGAAATTTCTCTAAGTCGAATTTTCTTTGTGAAAATATTGAGGAATCTTAGCTAATTAAAAAAAAAAAAAAAAAAAATCTTCAACATCTCCTATTACACAAAATTGGAGAGATGTTTCACTAATATTTCCATCTATATATACTTAAAAAATAAAGTTTGCGAATACATTTAAAAAAAAAAAATGAAATGTGTTGGCTTTAGTTTTTTGTATTCTTTTTTCGTTAGTGAAAAAAATTATAAAAATATTTGCAATGTTATACTTTGTAGGTATATCTACCTAAAAAGTTTTAAAAAAAAATGATTAAAATATAAATTCATTAAAGGGAAAACTATTGGAAAATTTCATTTAGGAGAGTTTTGGACTTCTTTATTTTTAATATTCTTGAAAGGTCCATTTTTGTGGTAATGTTTACAGGAGTAATGCTAGAGATTTCAAATATTCTACCAAAAGTTTTACCAAATGTCTCACATGGGTGTGGGACCCACACAATGTGGGTCCCATGTGGGTCCCACACCCATTGACAAGGAACCCAGTTTAAGCACGGCACCCACCACATTCCATACTCTACCGACGAAGCTCCCAAACATTACAACCAAAACGCGCGCACACGTAAACACTTGCCAGTTTCAATTCAATGTTACAGCGTTCTAGCATGTTCAACTAAGTCCACAAAAATAGACTGAAACTATCAAACCGTCAAACACACATCATATTGCCAAACACGTTACGCATATAGTACCGCCCTTCCCTTCCGTATGAACTATATATACAGATCAACCAGCACTATCGGTATAATAATATACACATACCACAAGCTTCAACCAGTAATGACCACGACACTTGAAGCAATGGACAACACATGAACATGTACACAACCATGTTGCCGGAGACGCAACTATAATTTTATTAACAGCAATGTTAGGTATCATGAAAAGTCTTTCATGAAAATGGTCATGAAAGATTTGTGACCTTTGAATTACACTTACAATAAAATACCACACACTAATCAAGGTAATCTAAAGATCACAAATTTTTCATGATCCTTTTCATGACAAAATTTTCATGATCTCTAACATTTCTCTTTATTAATACGCAATACATACGGAAAAAATACGCTGAAAATAGGTTTTCCAGTACACGGCAGAATAATAAATGCCACACATGCAGACCAAAGTTGGTCTTAACACAATTTAAAAAAAAAAAACCACAAAAAAACGTCACACTATGTAACTAAATAAACGGCCGCTAATTTGATGGAATGTGGGGATATTTCCATTATAATGTGGTATCAGATGCTGTTCACATCGTGATGAACTACAAAACACAACTCTAAAAATGTCACGCTCCAAATTCCGTGATATCGTCGCACACTCATTTAAGTGAGCATGCAAGGTTAAGAGTCCAACACATAACCAACAATGTAAAATACTCAAACTAAATCCTTAATTATCATAATGCTAAAATTCATAAAAATAGATAATTCTTATCATATGAAATTGTCCACCAAGTCCACTAATATAATCCACTAACAAAATAATAATCCAAGTACTTAAATCATAATCCTACTCTCGGCACTCCTCCGAGTAAAAATCCCGCGCAGCTCCACTCCTTAGAATCTGAAAAAAATAAATAAAATAAGGATAAGTTAGACAGCCTAGTAAATAACCAACCATCACTGCTAGCTGGATCAAGTATACAAAAAAAATAAATAGTCGATAACCAATAAATATAATTTTTTCTACAATTCAATAAATGAACAATTATTTGTAAGATGGTTTCATAGCTAAAAATAACCAATGTACAATACATTTTAATTGAAAAGCCAACAAGAAATCGATGGTTCAATATTCAGATGGTTCAATGATTTGATTCACAAAACCCAAGTCTGGATGACTACGGTCACTTAGCCAGTGACAAGGCCCAGAACCACACATAGGCCGGTGGTAAAGCCCCAAAAGAAACTAGTTTCTGTACTAATAAATAACCCCCATTGACTAGGGTCCAAATCATAGTCAGACTAAAATGATGTTCAAAATTCAAACAATACACAACTTTAAAAGAAAATATTCGATATTTTCAGAATAAACATTTGGTACATTTTAGTTTCACAAAACATTCAAATAACTTTCATAATAATATTCGATATTGTTTTATACTTGACCCATATTTTATTTTAAGAGAACTTGAAGACTATAAATAAATATTTATAATTTTAAACGATTCAGTAGGAATAAAAATGAACCAACAGTGAGAGAAGGTTACTGACCTCAAACGCTTAAAAACAATATTCCAACACCAACTCCAAACACTCAACTCCATCACTTTAATCACACAAATCTAATAATTAGAACTTCAAATAAATTAATATTTTTGTGTCTTTCACACATCCACAAAACCCACTATATGTATGAAAAGCTCAAGAAATACCAAATCAATTCTCCAAATTAATAGTCAAACACACCTTATCTAATATACCAAATTCTATTGTTAAAACTACACCCACACAATAGATTGCACTTTTATCATCAACCTACACAAAGCACTATACATGTTGAACCTTACATCCATTAGGCATCTCCACGGGATTTCTTTTCCATCACATTTTCTCTGCCTATTGATCTATTGTATATAATAAACAATGGTGTAAAAGAAAGTACCTTGATCAATGAGCATCAAGAATGCTCCCCTCAATTCCCCACCGTCACTTCCAGGGAATCCTCTGCGCAATTGATAACAAAATAATATAAAACCCTTTTCTCTTCTTTCCTTTTTTTTTAAAAAGGTTGAAAATCTAATTCTTAAGATTACTAAATTATTCATACAATTTATTTTAATTATTAATCTATCTAAAAATAACATTAATATCATACACTATGGACAAAAACGTAAATCAATCCAAAATAAGACTTTTAAAATTATTATAAGGCAATTAGAACTGCAAGGTACACATGTCATCCATATGGATTTATATGCCCTACATTAAACAAATTTTTTAAATTTCATTAAAATTTCACACCACACTTAAACAACCCAGTTGAGCATGTATATCTGTTCTCCAATTTAAAGAGAAAGCTATAATCACATCCTCATGCATTGATCAGCATGGAGACAGTCACAGCTGTATGACACTCGTTCAGATCTTGTGGGACCTAAACTCATGATTGCACGGTTGTGATGGCTTCTGTGATAATCCTACCATCACAGGCTGTTATCCTCCGCCGAAAGTTAAATTTGCGGCTATGCTTATTCGACAAGAATAGAATAAAGTCAGCAAAACGTGGAATCAATCACACCACAACTTTCTTTGTAAACCAATCTCCTTTTCATTTTTTTTTGCTTTAGTTATTCAATTTGTGTCATCTTAATTGTTAATTTAATCTTTAATGTAAAATAATATATTTTAATTTGGTCTTTTAACTGAATCCCATTTGTAGAACCCATTAAAAATTAATATTTTAATTTTCAAACTTTGCCAACTATGTAATTTTAGTTCATAATATTTAAATTATGTAAATTTAATTTTTAATATATAAAAATTGTTGAATTTGGTCCCTTGACCTAATTTTTGTCTCCCTCTTTATCTAAATTAGAGGTAAAGCATGGAAATAATAAATACATATCAGCAAAAAAATATTTAAAAGATCAAAATCTTTAGAAGGAAATATTTTCACCATCTAATATGTATATATATTATATATCAAAACATATTGAATTGGATGCTTCGAGGAAAAATTGTTTTCAAAAAAAATTGCCGACAACAAAATTTGGTGACAAGTATCTCATTATTGCAAAAGCACTTTTTGTACATTATTATTAAATTGACACAATTTAAATATTAGAGAATAAGATCACACATATTGGATATTTTGGTGACTAAAAATATAATCTTTTAAATTGAATTTTCATAATTACTCTTGACTTTAATGACACGTAGAGTTAGATCAGATACCAAATTAAAATATTTTTTTATATATTGTAAATTAAATTAACATAATTTAAATATCGGGACAAAAATAACACAAATCACATTTTGGAGACCACAAGGGTGTGATTAACTGTAGGATAAAGCTAGTAAAAAATGGAATCAATCACAGCACAACATTCTCTGTTAACCCAGCTCCTTTTCATATTTGCATTCACTTTCTTCCCACCTTTCCTTCCCTTTCCTTTCTATCAAACAAATCTTCTTCAAAAACAAAGAAACCAAGAAAACAAACAAACAACAACAACAACAAAACATACAGCAAAATGAGCTGTTTTAGGCCCAAGACTCCCAAAACTCTAACCCAAGAAAATCAAGAAACCAAAAATGTGATTCATGAAGTCCTGCTAAGTGTTCCTGGCTGCAAAGTCCACCTGATGGAAGAAGGGGAAGCAGTAGAACTCGACACCGGCGATTTCACTCTCTTCCGTGTCTCTGACGACAGCGCTGTCCTTGCCACCACTGTCAAAGTTGGTGATCTTCAATGGCCTTTGACAAAAGATGAACCAGTAGTGAAGCTTGATGCTTTACACTACTTGTTTTCGCTGCCGGTGAAAGATGGTGAGCCTTTCAGCTATGGTGTGACTTTCTTAGGTGGTGGAAATTTGGGGTTGTTGGATTCATTCTTGAATGAACATTCATGTTTTTCTTGTTCATCTTCTTCTGCTTCTTCGTCGAATCGGAATAAGGATGTAAATTGGAAGGAGTATGCACCTGCGATTCAAAATTATAATAATTTTTTGGCAAAGGCAATTGCAGGAGGGACTGGTCAGATTGTTAAAGGGATCTTCAAATGCAGCAATGCTTACACCAACCAGGTTTGTTTTCACTAGTTATTAGTACTATGAAAACATAATATGCTAACATGCTTGGAAAATATAGGAGTAATGTTTTGATTCCTAAAGGCAACATAATGGAAAATGTTGTTTTTATTAATGTGGACTGTACTTATTATCTTTGTGTGCAGTGTGGTAAGAAAATTTGGTGAGAAATACATTTATGTGTAGCTGTACTCCAACATATTTTAGGATTGCAGAGACCATATCATGAGGTGGGTTTTGACGCAATGGTGAAGTTACTCTGTTGTGACTTGAGCGTCATGTGGTTATGTGCATTTGATCCATTTTAGACGTGGAATGATGAGAGTTTCATGCAGTGAGATTGTCCTTTAGAAACACTATCATGATAAGAAAAAAGACAATTTTGTTGCAGGATTGGTTAAAATGAAACTTCTGTCTTCTTAAAATATTAATTATATGCAGTGAAGTAATGTGACACGTTTAATTGACTTAAATTTAACAAAAATTTTGGGGCCTGATGTCATTGAGATGACAGAACAAAAGACATTACCTGCCACCATAGAAAAGGGGAAAAAGAAAAGGAACATCTTGCACGTATAATTGTCATGACACAGCCAAAATACAAAAAAAGTGATACATCAATTACCTAGACCCTTGCATGAGTGGCTGTCAAAAGTATCAAAACATTTTTTGATGTTCATTCACAGAAATGGTGATCTATGTGATGAGGACTTGATATAATGTTCACTCACATCACAAAATGGTGTTTTTTTGTTATGATTTACATAATTCAATGGCTTCTAAAATATAAAAGTGTGGGGAAAAATATATATACAACAGGTACAAAAAGGAGGGGAAATGATCCTAACTCAAGCTGCAGAGCAGAAAACCTTAGCAAGAGAAAGGAGCAACAGAAATGCTGGCACCACGAAGAAGAGCGGACTCAATAAAAGCCTAAAACGGTATCTCAAGACCTCTTTTGTTTTTCTTTTGTTTTTTGATAAAATATTTGCCAAGCAAGAAAAAATAGTCCAATTGATGAACTCAAAAAATGTTATTTATTTTTAACTTTTTGATTATATAGTGTGAGGAAGATATCGAAGATGACAGAAAAGATGAGCAAGAAAATGCTTGATGGTGTTGGCATTGCAACCGGATCAATAATGGCACCTGTGGTTCGGTCCCAATCAGGAAAGGCATTCCTAGCCATGGTTCCTGGAGAGGTCCTCTTGGCTTCATTGGATGCTGTTAGTAAGTACAACCCTTCACTTCGTACTTGCCTCTCAAAATTGGGTTTTGCTAGCAAATGCCACTCAGACAAGAAAAAGGCAAACAATAAAAAATAAAAATAAGCATACAAGACACTTTTCACTAATTTCAAAACACTTAAAATTTAAGGAAAAAAAATTCTCACTATTTTCAAATCACTTTTTACACATTCTAAAATTAAATAATCTCCAGGGGCACTTGTTAGCATATTTGCCTTCAAAATTCACTGCATGGGCTTTGTTTGGAGCATGTGATTTTTATACCCGAATGCTTAATAACTGCAGTAATTCGAAGAAAATAATCTGATGTGATCATATCCATTTGGAAACTGCAGACAAAGTTTTGGACGCAGTCGAAGTTGCTGAGAAACAAGCCTTCTCTGCCACCTCTGCTGCTGCAAACAGAATGGTTTCTCGAAGGTAGAGTACCCAAGGCATGATAACAAGTTAATTTCTATACAAATTCATTTGTTAGGTAATGAAAATTTATCAGCAGTAAATCACAATCAATTTTCTAGGCGGTTGGATTGATAATTTGATCAATTCGCTACAAATTACAAAGCTATCCGTTGGTTTTAACTTTTAGCTAGGCTGTTGAATTCCTGAGTGTCGAATTATTCCAAACCTGATCATCAAAATAGTGACAAGCGACACCCCCCCCCCCCCCCCCCCCCCAGTTTTTTTTTTTTTTTTTTTTTTAAAAAAAAAAAAGAAAGACAAGCGACACCCCCCCCCTCCTCCCCCAGCCACTATTTTGTTCAACCTTTGGTCAGGGATCCACTGTTCCCAATGCGCACTCATCACACAATGTGGTGAAAATCTTTAAGGCATGATCATGCGGCTTAGTGTGTGTTGAAAACATGCGATATGGATTTTGGAAACACACAATCCTGTGCCTTAACGTTTTTCCATTTGCATTTATTATTGCTAGACAAATTAAAGTTGTTGATTATCCTCAACCTTGGACGAGGAATTTAAGTAGAAAGGCAAAGATTATTCACACTAGCCTTGTTTTCATAATTTTCCCCCTTAGTTAAGTACATAACATTGGTTTTTTTAGTTTTTAAAAGTTTTGGTATAATTGATAGGAGGGGAATAGGGAATAGGGAATAGGGAAAAGGAGGTTGTAGTCACAAAGATAAGATTCAAACACAGGCATCAGCTTCGGTAAGGGAATGCCTCATCAACTAAGCCAACTATTTGATCGTACAATTTTTTTCCACATTGCGAATGCGATGTATTCAATATGAACCTTCTCAAACCACCAACTAAAAAGAAAAGTAGTACCTAGTACACTAGTCTCTTGTTTAGAAGTTGTACGTACCCAATGCTCCAATTAAAACACGAAAAACTTTGCAATGTTCGACACCCTATTTTCAGTACTTCTTTCATAATTCTTTCCTATTATGTTATTTTAACACCATTTTAATATTCAATAAATCTCTTTCCTCTTTTTTTTTTTTATTAAACTCTGCGGCATTGTTGAGAAACAGGTTTGGAGAAAGCGCGGGGGAGGCAACAGAAGATGTGTTGGCAACTGCAGGACACTGTGCCTGCGCTGTTTGGAATATATTCAAGATTCGAAAAACCATCAATCCAGCTTCATCTGTTTCTTCAGGAGCTCTAAGGACTGCAAGAAACAATTACAAGAAGTCTTATTAAAATGCCCTATGCAACAACAAAAACAACAGAATGATATGAAACATTGCATTGTGCTTCATCTATTTGTCACCCCCCTTGTATCCAAAACACATTGGCCGGTGGTTCTATTTTGAGGTTGTCTTGTATGTAGCAATTAGTGATTGTTGGACTTGGGTTTGGATTTGGTGATTGTAGACTTTTTAACTATTATTGAGATAGTGATCTATGTGATATAATATTTTTTAAATTTGTAATTACTATTTTAATGATTAAAAAAAAAAAATTCAAGTCAAGTTTAATTACTTGATTCGTTTTACAATTGGATTGGAGGCCCACTTGAGCGATTGACTCCTCTTGGCTCAACCCATGGCCCAATTAAACCGCTTTGCTTTGTGCAATTTACTATAAGTTTATAATTGATAATTAAAATGTAAAAGTTTAAAATTATTTTTAATTTATTTAAAATATTTTCGATCTAAAAATTATAAAATGAAAATTTACAACTTTTAATAATTAATTTGTTTCAATCTATTTAAGTTTTATTAAACAATTTGACAAAAGCTCTCATAATACAAAAATATATAATGAGCTGAGATAAACACGATGAGTGTCTCTATTTACACACCACATTTTACCTCAAGACACATTTTTACTCAATTCACACTTTTAATAATTTAAAAAAATATAACTTTTCTCCACACACACCACAACGTTCCATTTTTTTCCATTAGTCCCACACCACTTAATACACACCTCAAAGCTTATCCGACGCCGGCACCGGTGCTGGCGCCACCGCCCCACCACCCTCACGCCACCCTCCCCACCCCTAGAAACCATGCTTACAGCACCTCCCACCACCCCTCACACTTCCATTACAGCACCTCCCTCAGTCGCCTTCCTTCTCCAACCCCCCCTCCTTCCCTCCGATGCCCTTCCCCCACCATTCTTCTTCTTCTTCTCCAAAATTCTAGATCTCTAACCCTCTCAAACCCTAGATCTAATTTCGAAAAGGTTGGAGGGAAGTCGCGATTCTAAAGGTTGGGTCGCAATGGCGACTGGTTTCTGGCGTTGGGGTTTGGGGAGAGAAGGAACGGAGCCAGAGAGGAAGGGACGGAACAGAGAAGGAAGACGGAGAGAGGGCGGTGGTGGGCTAGCGATCGGAGGAAGATGGTGACGAGGAAAGGAGATGAAGGCTGTTGAATTCCTGAGTGTCGAATTATTCCAAACCTGATCATCAAAATAGTGACAAGCGCCGGCGACCCACCACCTGACAGATTACGAGAATACAGATCGATCGATCGAGAGAGAGAGAGAGAGATCACTAGCTGCAACAGTGGTGGTTAGGGTTAGGATTTGAACGTTGTGTTAATTAAGGTGTGTATGGATATTCTGTTGTGATTATTTTAGCAACAATGATAGAGACCACTAATTTTGGAACTCTAAAAAGACCACTAATGACATGGCATTCAATAAAAAAAAAAATACAACATCAAGGCCAAAACATCAACTCATTCATGGTGGGGCCTACTGCCACATCATTAGTGGTAGCACTAATTAATGCTCCTACTCATTTTCCTTATTTTAGTCATTTTAGCTACGGTTATTATTGTAATAAAAAATAATTAATTAATGGGAAGCTTTTTTGATAAATTCATTTTCTAAGAGCTTTATTCCATCCAACCCATATTCTTTTTGAGTATTCTATTAGGTCCAATTTGAGATAAAAAGACCAAAATATCATTTTCATCTACTTATGTTCCATTTAGCTCACATTATTTTCTTATGTTTCAATAAGTTTTATGGGTGACATAATTACCAAAATACCCTTAATGTGAATGTTCACACCGTCAATATAAATGTTTATATCGTCAATGTGTAGGGGCCCGGCTCATGTCGATCCTCGTGGGTGCCCGGAAAAATTCGAGTCGGGCCGGGCCGGCCCACAAGCCAAAAAAAATAGGCCCGACCCGGCCCGTTGATAATATGAATATTCACATTGACAAGTTAACATCCACATTGATAGAAGTGTAAAATTGGTCTGCGACCCGTGGGCGACCCAAAACCAGCCCGTCGCTCGGGGCGGGCCCGGGCCGGCCCGTTCACAATATGAATATTCACCTTGACATATTAACATTAACATTAACATTGACAATAGTGTAAAATTGGCCCGTGACCCATGGGCAGCCCGAAGCCCGAGCCCGAGTCGGGGCAGGCCTGGCCCGGCTCGGCCCATTGACAATGTGAATATTCACATTGACATATTAACATTCACATTGATAAGAGTGTAAAATTGACTCACGTCCCATGGGCGGCCCGGGGCGAGCCCGGTCCGGACCGTTGGCAATATGAATATTCACATTGACATATTAACATTCACATTGATAAGAGTGTAAAATTGACTCGCGTCCCATGGGCGGCCCGGGGCGAGCCCGGCCCGGCTCGTTGATAATGTGAATATTCACATTGACATATTAACATTCACATTGATAAGAGTGTAAAATTGACTCGCGTCCCATGGGCGGCCCGGGGCGAGCCCGGTCCGGCTCGTTGATAATGTGAATATTCACATTGACATATTAACATTCACATTGATAAGAGTATAAAATTAACTCGCGCCCCGTGGCTGCTCGAAACTAGCCCACGGCCCGTGGACGGCTTGGGGCGGGCCCGACCTGGCCTGTTGACAATGTGAATATTCACATTGACATATTAACATTCACATTGATAAGAGTATAAAATTAACTCGCGCCCCGTGGCTGCTCGAAACTAGCCCACGGCCCGTGGACGGCTTGGGGCGGGCCCGACCTGGCCTGTTGACAATGTGAATATTCACATTGACATATTAACATTCACATTGATAAGAGTATAAAATTAACTCGCGCCCCGTGGCTGCTCGAAACTAGCCCACGGCCCGTGGACGGCTTGGGGCGGGCCCGACCTGGCCTGTTGACAATGTGAATATTCACATTGACATATTAACATTCACATTGATAAGAGTATAAAATTAACTCGCGCCCCGTGGCTGCTCGAAACTAGCCCACGGCCCGTGGACGGCTTGGGGCGGGCCCGACCTGGCCTGTTGACAATGTGAATATTCACATTGACATATTAACATTCACATTGATAAGAGTATAAAATTAACTCGCGCCCCGTGGCTGCTCGAAACTAGCCCACGGCCCGTGGACGGCTTGGGGCGGGCCCGACCTGGCCTGTTGACAATGTGAATATTCACATTGACATATTAACATTCACATTGATAAGAGTATAAAATTAACTCGCGCCCCGTGGCTGCTCGAAACTAGCCCACGGCCCGTGGACGGCTTGGGGCGGGCCCGACCTGGCCTGTTGACAATGTGAATATTCACATTGTCAACAGGCCGGGCCGGGCCACCCCGGCAGCCCACGAGCCGTGGACGGGTTTCGGGCAGCCACGGGGTGCGGGCTAATTTTACACTCCTATCAATGTGCATGTTAACATGTCATTGTGAATATTCACATAGTCACGGGTCGGGCCAAGCCCGCCTCGGGCTGCAGTCGGGCTTCGGGCCGTCCATGGGCTGCGGGCCAATTTTACACTCTTATCAATGTGAATGTTAACATGTCAATGTGAATATTCACATTGTCAACGGGCTGGGCCCGTCCCGGGCAGTGGGCGGGCTTTTTGGCCGTCCATGGGCCGCGGGCCAATTTTATACTCTTATCAATGTGAATGTTAACATGTCAATGTGAATATTCACATGTCAACGGGCCGGACTGGGCCCGTCCGGGCCGCCCATGGGTCGCGGGCGGTTTCGCCGCCACGGGACGGGGGCCAATTTTACACTCCTATTAATGTGAATGTTAACATGTCAATGTGAATATTCACATTGTCAACGGGCCGGGCCGGGCTGAGTCGGGCCCGCCCTGGGCTACTTAATGTGAACATTCACATTGTCAACAGGCCGGGCCGGGCCTGCCCACGGGCGTGGGCGGGTTTCGGGCAGCTACGAGGCGCGGGCTAATTTTACACTCCTATCAATGTGAATGTTAATATGTCAATGTGAATATTCACATTGTCAACGGGCCGGGCCGGGCCGCCCCGGGTTGCGGGCGGGCTTTTGGCCGCCCATGGGCCGCGGCCCAATTATACTCTTATCAATGTGAATGTTAACATGACAATGTGAATATTCACATTGTCAACAGGCCGGGCCGGGCCTGCCCCAGGCCGCCCACGGGCCGTGGACGGGTTTCGGGCAGCCACGGGGCGCGGGCTAATTTTACACTCTTATCAATGTGCATATTAACATGTTAATGTGAATATTCACATAGTCACGGGTCGGGCCAAGCCCGTCTCGGGCTGCGGTCGGGCTTCGGGCCTCCCACGGGCTGCGGGCCAATTTTACACTCTTATCAATGTGAATGTTAACATGTCAATGTGAATATTCACATTGTCAACGGGCCGGGCCCGTCCCGGACAGTGGGCGGGCTTTTGGTCGTCCATGGGTCGCGGGCCAATTTTATACTCTTATCAATGTGAATGTTAACATGTCAATGTGAATATTCACATTGTCAACGGGCCGGACTAGGCCCGCCCGGGCCGCCCATGGGTCGCGGGCGGGTTTCGCGCCGCCACGGGACGGGAGCCAATTTTACACTCCTATTAATGTGAATGTTAACATGTCAATGTGAATATTCACATTGTCAACGGGCCGGGCCGGGCTGAGTCGGGCCCGCCCTGGGCTGCTGTCTAGTTTTATACTCTTATCAATGTGAATGTTAACATGTCAATGTGAACATTCACATTGTCAACAGGCCGGGCCGAGCCTGCCCACGGGCCGTGGGCGGGTTTCGGGCAGCTACGAGGCGCGGGCTAATTTTACACTCCTATCAATGTGAATGTTAACATGTCAATGTGAATATTCACATTGTCAACGGCCCGCCCCGGGCTGCGGGCGGGCTTTTGGCCGCCCATGGGCCGCGGCCCAATTTTATACTCTTATCAATGTGAATGTTAACATATCAATGTGAATATTCACATTGTCAACGGGCCGGACCGGGCCCGCCCCGGGCCGCCCATGTGCTGCGGGCGGGTTTCGCGCCGCCACGGGACGGGAGCTAATTTTACACTCCTATTAATGTGAATTTTAATATGTCAATGTGAATATTCACATTGTCAACGGGCCGGGCCCGCCCTAGCTCGCGGGCAAGTTTCGGGCCACCCACGCGCCAATTTACATTCTTACAAATGTGAATTTTAAAATATGAATTTTCACATCAT